AAAAAGCCTCAAGTATTACACAGGGGAGAGAAAAAGGAATTCCTCAATTCTGATATATATGGACAAAAAAAAATGAAAAAAAGAAATCTTTAATGTCTTCATGGTTGTTAATTTGTAAGGCTAATTTGGAAACATAAGCTGGTCAGAGGTAATAACAACTACCACTAATCCCACCTTACTATGCTCTGAACACTCTGTGGGGCCTCTATAATTCTTGCAATAACCTTGCAAGGTAAATACCCCAGTTTTACAGATGAGGACAATGAACCCCAGAGGTTAAAAACTAAGCCAAATTCACAAGGCTAGTGCTATAGTTTGAATGTCCCCTCCAAAACTCATGTTGAAACACTTGCCAATATAACAGTATTAAGTGGTGGGAAATATGACTACGTATTTGAAAAGTGGGGCTTTTAAGAGTTGATTGGATTGTGAGGGCTCTGCCCTCATAAATGGGTTAATCCATTCATGGATTAATGGGTTAATGGGTTAATGAGTCATCATGGGAGTGACACTAGTGGTTTTTAAAAGGAGAAAGAGACCTGAGTGAGCGTGTGAGTGCAATCTTGCCCTCTTGCCCCATGATACCCTACACCACCTCGGAACACTGCAGACTCCCCACCAGGAAGAAGGCCATCGCTAGATGCAATTCCTTGACTTTGGACTTCCCAGCCTCCAAAACTAAAGAAACAAATTCAATTTCTTTATGAATTACCCAGTTTCAGGTATTCTGTTATAATTAACAGAAAACTGACTAAGATAGCTAGTAGGTGTTAGAGAGCAGCTTGGAAAGCAGGACCACAGGGTTCCTGAGTTTCATTGTATGCACAACATATGCAAGTGATTTATGGATCCTATTAAAGAACATGAGCAAATTATGATGCAAGAAGAATAGTTGAAACTTCTATAATATTAATGATGATGACAGGTAACATATATCTAGTATCCCATATGTCCTAGGCACTGTTCTAAGCATTTTAAATTCATTGCTTCATTTAATCCTACAATTCTATTATGTTAGTTTTATTATTCCCACTTTGTTAATATAAACACTGTAGTTCAGAGTTCTCTAACCACATAGAACAATGCCTGTCTACACAGTAAGCACTCAAATAATATTTACTTTTATTATTGGTCACTGTTTTCTACAGTGGCTTCTACTCCATCTCTGGGCCTCCTGTAGGCCTTGAGGAGAAGCATAGGAGTGAGCAGCCCCTCAGTTGGAAGGACCAATGCACATGGATTACAGAGCGCAGGGATCACTCCAAGCCAAGAGGACAGCAACAGAGCCTGCCCGCATCTCTCACTGTCCTGGACTCCCTAAGGCCAGTGGTGTTAAACATGGGGGATCCCATCCACATGGGGTTAAGAGGAGATGACTGAAATGTCAGAAGGCTACACTACCTCTCAATCTGATTAGAGTGATTAGTCACTGGTGGTATTTAAAAGTTCACACAGTTGGAGGCAGGGAGAAGCCATGTCTAGGAGAGTAAAAACTCCAGGGGCTAAGCTTTGGGTTGATGAGAGAAAACAGAATATACCATCTAAGAAAGTCACTGTGAATTTGTCTGCTTTCATTGGGGGGGATGGGGGGAGCTGCTTAACACCAGAGCTCTAACTTCTAAGATTAGAAGCCTGCCTTGCCTTATGCCATCAATGTATTCCTGGAAAGATGTATGTAAATCCAATGCATGCTAATCAGAGCCCATTTCCCCCGAGACTCTCATTTTCATTTCAGAGTTGCTTTATCTTCATTTCTGACTGACGTCCAGTGGACAGTGGTTCCAACAGTGCAACCTTAAGTTTTTCTGCCCTTTGCCCGAGGCTCTCAGCCAAGTGGTTAACCATGTGTAAGCAAACCTTTACATGCACCAGAGACCACCAGATTAAAAACAGCTCTGGGGTGAAACCCTTTGCAAGAATCCTCTGTGTAAAGAGAAAACGATTCCAACTTATATTTGTTGTGCTGGGAAGTTCATATATCATATTTTCTTAAGGTGAGGATTCTCTACTACAAACAATATTTCTGATCAGTCAGTTTACTTTCAGAAGAACTCTGGCCTCTTGCTAAACACAGGAGACTGCTCTGTGACTAGGGGAATGACACATTAACCCTGAAGTTACAAACGTCAGTAGCTCTTTGGAGCCTGAGTTCTCAGGATGGCTTTTGGGGATCTACCAACCCTGCATATTTTCTGGGGAGAGTGCCTGTAGCTTTCATGTGATCTTAAATGAGTCTATCATGCAAAACTAGGTGACACACTTATTCTAGAAGCCCTCAGTGAGGAAAAAGCCCAGGAAATGTTTTCCTTACCTGTAGCCANGGGGTGAAACCCTTTGCAAGAATCCTCTGTGTAAAGAGAAAACGATTCCAACTTATATTTGTTGTGCTGGGAAGTTCATATATCATATTTTCTTAAGGTGAAGATTCTCTACTACAAACAATATTTCTGATCAGTCAGTTTACTTTCAGAAGAACTCTGGCCTCTTGCTAAACACAGGAGACTGCTCTGTGACTAGGGGGATAACACATTAACCCTGAAGTTACAAACATCAGTAGCTCTTTGGAGCCTGAGTTCTCAGGATGGCCTTTGGGGATCTACCAACGCTGCATATTTTCTGGGGAGAGTGCCTGTAGCTTTCAGGTGATCTTAAATGAGTCTATCATGCAAAACTAGGTGACATGCTTATTCTAGAAGCCCTCAGTGAGGAAAAAGCCCAGGAAATGTTTTCCTTACCTGTAGCCA